TTTACATTCCTCCTAGCTATCAGCTGCAAAAACGTGATTTACACTCTTTAATTGATGAACCTCTGGAGCCTTATGTTCTCCTTGGAGACTTTAATGCGCATAGCAGGCTATGGGGTGACTCTCGCTATGACGCGCGAGGTCGACTGATTGAACAGTTCCTTCTCTCGTCGAGCGCGTGTCTCCTAAATCGAAAAGAACCAACCTATTATAATCTCGCTAATAACACCTACTCCTCCATAGACCTAAGCATAGTATCTCCATCTCTTGTGCCTCTACTCCAGTGGAAAGTCGCCAGTAATATGTACGGAAGTGACCACTTCCCCGTAGTTTTGAGCACAATTACAGTAACTGAGTGTCCACCACGTGTTCCCAAGTGGCTCATAAACAGAGCCGACTGGGAACAGTTTTATACCATCGCTCGTCTAGGTTGGAATGACATATGTACTTTGAACATTGATGTTGCTGTCAACTACTTCACAGCGTTTTTGATTGATGCGGTAACAAATGCATCCCACAAACAATGCCGAAACGCGCGCAAACAGCAAAACAGAGCTTGGAGGCTGCTTCGAAACTCACCGACAGCCGAAAATCTTGACATCTTCAAGAAAATAAAGTCTCAAGGCAGGAGAACGCGTCGGCAGGCCAGAAGAGAAAGCTGGCAGAAGTTTTTGTCAGGGATCAATTCATACACACAGGAGGCTAAAGTCTGGAACATGGTCGGTAGGATAGCAGGAAAACAAGTACACACACTTCCACTCGTAAACACTCAGGGTGATACCGTGGAAGATCAGGCCAACTTCCTCGGTGCACACTTCGAACAGGTGTCCAGCTCATCCCACAATACTGACACTTTCCAAAAATACAGAACAAGAATAGAAAAGCAGAAACTCAAACACAAATGCACTAGATATGAGGCATATAACCAAGCTTTCAGTCTAGCTGAGCTGCAAACGTCTCTAAACTCCTGCAGTACTTCTGCCCCAGGTTCTGACCGTGTGGTGTATGAAATGTTAAAAACCTACCAATCGAAACACGAAAAACCTTACTTTGTTTGTACAATGCTATCTGGTTTTCTGGCACTATCCCTACCTCCTGGAAAGAGGCTATTATTATTCCCATTTTGAAAGAGGGCAAGGACCCTTCTTTACTTTCGAGTTATAGGTCTATTGCACTTACAAGCTGCTTGTGCAAAGTCTTCGAAAAAATGATAAACTGCCGACTTGTACATTTCCTTGAAACAAACAATTTGCTCGACCCATTTCAATGCGGGTTTAAAGAGAATAGATCCACCACAGACCACCTTGTTCGTATCGAGGCACAGATCAGAGACGCCTTCGTCCATAAACAATATTTTCTCTCTGTGTTCCGCGATATCGAAAAGGCTTATGATACAACATGGCGTTTTGGAATTCTAAGAGACCTGTCCCACCTTGGCGTGCGCGGAAGAATGTTTCACATAATCGAAAGTTACCTGTCAAACCGGACATTTCCGAGTGGGCACGGTTCTTTCCCAAACATTTGTCCAGGAAACAGGCGTGCCACAAGGTGGTGTACTTAGCTGCACACTTTTTCTCATCAAAATGAATTCCTTGCGCTTGTCCATCCCTCGCAATATGTTTTATTGTACATATGTCGATGACGTTCAGCTTGGCTTTAGATCTTGCAATCTGGCAATGTGTGAGCGGCAGGTTCAGTTAGGTTTAAACAAGGTCTCCAAATGGGCAGAGGAAAACGGATTCCGACTGAACCCACAAAAAAGCACGTGTGTCTTGTTCTCCCGAAAGAGAGACATGCACTCAGAACCCGAAATTGAACTGAACGGTCAACGTCTGTCTGTTAATGCGGAGCATAAATTGTTAGGATTAATCTTGGACAACAAGTTGACCTTCGTACTGCACATCAAGTATTTAAAAACAAAATGTTTAAAAGCCATGAATGTTTTAAAAGTGTTGTCACCTACTACGAGGGGTAGTGACAGGCAATGTCTCATGAACCTGTGTAGAAGCCTCATTCGCACCCGCTTAGATTATGGGGCCGTAGTTTACCAGTCTGCGACTCAAAGTGCTTTGAAGATGCTGGACCCCGTGCACCATTTGGGCATCCTCCTTTCTGCGGGTGCTTTTCGCACCAGCCCCGTAGAAAGCCTTTATGTTGAGTCAAATGAGTGGTCGCTTCATCTGCAGAGAACTTACATGTCCTTGGTTTATTTCCTTAAGGTAAAAGCAGACAAGAAGCACCCCTCATACTCTACTATTAATGATTTGTCGAGCTCAATTCTGTTTCAAAACAGGCCTTCGATGAGGCAGCCCTTCTCAGTTCGCCTGAAGAGTTTAGCTGAGGAAACTGGAGTCTCACTCGAACACAGTTTAATGGCTCCTGTAGCATACCCGCCACCGTGGCAATGGCAAACTATAGACTGCGATGTGTCTTTTCTAGAAGTTACAAAACATGCACCTATTGCCCTTATCCGAACATACTTCCTTTAACTTCAACACAAATACACACGTCCTGAGTTCTTTACAGATGCCTCAAAGTATAACTCCTCTGTGTCCTACGCTGCTGTCGGCCCATCCTTTTCGGATGCCGGCCCTCTACATCCAAGCACAAGTATCTTCACAGTGGAAGCTTATGCGATACTTGTGGCTGCTAAACACATCAAGCAATTACAAATACAAAAAGCTGTAATTTATACGGACTCCCTCAGTGTGGTAACGATTCTGCACACTCTTAAAAAACAAAAAAATCCAGTCCTTGTCTCACTTTACTCCATTTTCTGCACACTCTACACGTTCAAACAACATGTTGTAGTGTGCTGGGTGCCAGGGCACCGTGAGATTCAAGGCAACGTAATGGCGGATCAGCTCGCTGCATCCGTCCACAAAAGCACTGCCCCTACACCCATATCAATCCTGGCCCGTGATCTTAAGCCGTCTCTCAAACGAAACCTCAGGGACTACTGGCAAAGCAAGTGGGATACACACACACAAAACAAACTACACATTATTAAGCCACAACTTGGTCATTGGCTGCCTGTATCGAAATCGCGTCATACAGAGGGAATACTAACGAGACTCAGGATAGGACACACATACACGACACACACATATCTTTTGTCCGGTGGCGATCCACCATTGTGTGACAGATGTGGTGAAGCATTAACAGTCCTTCACATGTTAATCCAGTGCAAACACTTAGAAACTCTAAGAAAACAACATTTTCCATTACCCTACCGACAACATATACCTTTACACCCTGCAATGTTCGTCGGTAGGGAACCGCTTTTTAGTCATAAATCATTGTTAGCGTTTTTAAAAGAAATTCATAATTTTCATATCATATACCCGGGCATTCCGTAGCACAACCTCTCCAGAGAGGTTTTTGCTGCGGTGGCTACACAAGAAAGCACTTGCCTCACGGCCCTTGGACGCAAGGGTATGAACGAGTGAGGTACCTGTGCTAATGCCATACATGTCCACCATCGTTTTTCATTATCACCAACTTTTGTCACCTATTCACACCACACACACCTTTCACGGCATGGTCATGATTTTATTACTTGTATGTTTTTACCCGCCTTACCGCGAAGAATTTTATGGCCCTTATACAGCCGCTTGTCACAATTATTGTCCATATTTTTAGTAATATGAACTGGCGCACTTTGGCCGTGAAATGGCCCTTGTGCACCAAAAAACATCAAACATCATCATCATCAAAAAACTTTAATACATACTTTTATGCATGTCGTTAATTCTTAATATGCCACAGAAGCAAGGACCTTGCTATAAAAAACATACTTCAGAACTACGTAACATGTTGCGTGCCACCTGTTGAGTGCATACATGCCAAATAAACAAAATAATAGAGATAAAACTTATGTCATTAAGGCAACAGAAAATGAAGAAGTCAGAGCTAATACAAGTGCTTCGCACTCTCCGCCATTAGCTTCAGAACAATTGGTTCTAGCTTAATATACCTTAAACGAGACAGCACTAAATTTTTGATGCTGAAGGCTACTTGCCCCATTAGTACTTGAGAGTCGGCATTAAAGGTGGCACGCATTTGGTGACTTACTTTCTCGAAGCTTTTCAGTATGTCACGAATTCACTACACCTGGCAGTAAAGGGTTAAACATGTGTTGGGAACCGTGATGGCTGTGTCCCATTGTGCTTCTTGTGGCACACTAGTGAGGCTACTGGGTAACATTAGCATACTATGGAACACGATACTTGCACATGGCAGCACACTGTGGAAAGAATAGCATCTGTTTCAGACTCTGCTCCTCATTTATTTTGGCTATTAGCTAATAGCATGTTATCTGTTGTGTGATGCCCTACAGCAGGTGCCAGAGCTCTGATAAGACTGAGCACATGCCTCTGTATAATAAATGAGAGCCTGAGAAAATGGCAGCTTGACATTTCGCTTCTAAACTCTCCTTGCCACGTTCAAGTGCAAGAATTGGTCGAGATGTTCACAGCAGCATCCACTATCTACAGGATGTGTTTCTTCAACAAGCTCTGGTAGTGGTGCTCATGGCCCTTCTAAATGTCCCAAATAGACCTGGGCTGGCCACATTATGAGAAGGACAGTAGATGGTCAGTTAAAACGTTGGAATGGCTGCTACGAAATGGGAGGCTTAAGTGGGAATGGCCAAGGATTAGGTGGAGCGATGAATTGAAGGAATTGAGAAACATATAATGGTATCTGCTTGTACAGGTCAGCGTAGGTAGGAGATCACTGGGAGAACTTCTCGTCTAGCGGGGCACTCATAAGAAAAGCTGATTATCAAGATGGTGGTGACATTAAATGTATGAAAACGATATTGATCGTGCATGACATGCTTATAAGATTAACTTCTCTGTGAGCTTATAAGTGTCCATGTATGGGTGGCATTACTGGGAATTGTCAAGAACTTGACAGTACTTAACGACAACCTAAGTCTCGGCTCATGTTGCATTCTGCGCATTTTGAAGTGTATTTCTCCTGCTCGTTGTCCTACCCAGGGGTAGCGAGCCGATGCCCTCGCTATTGCGATGGGCTCTGTTTCCCCGACCGGCCATGCGCCGTCGCATAGCCCGAAAGGACTGAGGCACAGGATGGTGCCCCGGCTAACAGGCGACAAAGTGGCGAAGGAAAGCCAGCCACTGAATGACCTGGCCTCTTCGTCTTCGGCCCGCCGCAGCGACGCAGAGTCTGGCGGGGAGGGGGACTGGACGGCTGATGAGGAGGTGATGATCGTGGACAAAGAGCCGCTGCTGTCCCGGCGGCTAAGTAAAGACAGTGCAAAGAATGACAGGGCCGGCACTATTGTGGATGACACCCACGAGTCCCTCTGGTCAGTGGCCGTACAGGTGTTTGTGCCATTCCTCATAGCCGGCTTCGGCACAGTCGGTGCTGGACTGGTGCTGGACGTCATACAGGTGAGACTTTCACCATCTCGCCCGCATTTTTGTTGCAAGAGACAGAAATAGGTCAAAGCGGAGACATTCACAAGATCGGGATGTGGTCTTGTTGGCATACCATATTGAAATACAAGAAAAGCTTGTTATTTTGACCTCGGTTAATGGGAACTTATAATTAATTAAAACTGATGCCCTAGACCTGGCACAGCCTTGTGTCTTTCTAAGGGAAAACTCCAGTTAATTCAAATGTAACGGTACTTACTATGATGAATTTGTGAGATGCCGTGTCAATAGAAGGACGTGTCCCAGCATAAAACGTAACAAGTGTTTACTAACGTGGTATCAGCAGCGGGGCGAGCATGTTGATGCTGTGCTCGAACGGCTAGAGAAACAGAAGAGAGAACCGAGCTTGGCAGCTTGGGTTTAGAGCCGCCAGTGGTGATGTAAGCCTTTAGTGAAGCTGCGGTAGCAGTGTCCCTTATCGGAAGTGTGTTGCAACTGGTGGTCCTATCACGCTGGGCTAACCATTGACGAGACAGAGGCTGCGCAGGTTTGTCTGCAGTGATCGCTACAAATTCGAACCGAGAGCCCCCTGGCTTTCACTGCTCCTCACATAAATTGACCCAGAGTAATCACAATGTGTTGCAAAACCAAACCAAGTTTGCTAGAGATACAAAACAAAACAGCATATTTCTCCACAGATTAGAACTTGGATGCTGTGCTCTTGGCGGTAACAAGCCCAGAAGAGGTAACGGGCCCTAATTCATAACTAGCACAGAGGTGGCTTCCTTTTTTCTGCCCACACAGTGTGGTGTGATGTCCATTCATTCTAGCACCGACCTGCCAACTTGAACTCTGCTTCATTAGAACAATTTTATACTCCCTTTCGAGTTCTAATTGACGAGCTTTTACTTTGCCCTCCTTGTGGCCTCTTTTGCAAAATATATTGGCGAGCGAATTGCTTGAAGGCTGAGCAAGAAATGGTAGCATGGTCTAAATGTATAAACTCAAAAGAGGAGCAGTAAGAAAAATGCATACGGTGCCTTTGCTGTTGATTCATGCTTCTTGTTTCTTGAGTTTTTGTTTTCTTGTAACGCTACCGTGTGCTCATGCGAGGTCGTCTCTTGATCTGAAAATCTCTTGTATGGACTACGTTTCTTCCATTGTGTAGCTCCTTCCCAGAGCAGGAGCATGAGCACAAATACATAGTCTGTGTTACCTGCAGCGAGAGAAATGTATTGTTTAAATTCGGTAGCCTTGACCACAGCTGAACCACCACACACAATAGAAGCACATTTGGGGATTCAGAAGTGTTGGAAAAGCTATCTATTGGAAACCAATGCCTTGTTCTATTGGCTAGTAGTATGGAGAGGAGACTGTTTTTTTTGGATCGAGCTGTTTTTTCTTGAGGAAACTTTGATTTTTTCACAAACTATGAATTATGCTCTCTGCCTTCGAACTACTTTAATGAACTGTTTAAAGTGGAGTGTGTTATACACTGTATCATAGACATTTGCCAAGCCATTTGTAGTTATTCAGATGTGGTCTCAGCATTTCGTTGCTGAAATAACAATGTCAGTGGCAATCTTGTATCTGTTGAAAACAATGACTGCAGCCAATGTGCAAAAATTTATTTTATTTTATATTATTTGCACTGCAAGAACAATGTTGCTGTCGACCGATTGTGAATGCATGTAAGCATATTTCACATGCTTGTCTTTTTTTTTTTTGCCAGCTGGATACCATGCGACAGGGGCGTAGCCAGAAATAGTTTTCGGGGGGGGGGGGGAGGGGGGTTCACACCGACTCGATGAGGGGGTGGGGGGGGGGGCACACAGGCATCAGCTTTCCTCTGTGATACTACAATTCGTGGTAGTTTAAACGGATGGTGTACATGTATATCAAGTCATGAGATTTCCCCCTCTCCCCTTGCGTATCGTAGTGAAGATAGTAAGTAAAAGTACTGTAAGAATCATTGATTGATATGTGGGGTTTAACATACCAAAACCATTATATTATTATGAGAGATGCCGTCCTGAGGGGCTCCGGAAATTTAGACCACCTGAGGTTCTTTGACGTGCACACGGCCCTACAGCGTTTTCACCTCCATCGAAAATGCAGCCGCCGCAGCCAGGATTCAATCCCACAACCTGCAGGTCAGCAGCAAGTATCTTAGCCACTAGACCACCACGGCGGGGCAGTACTGTAAGAAGTACTGTAAAATATAATAAACGACAGGTACAGTGACTGTTTGGAGCAATGGCCTCTCGTCGCACCATTGAAATGACTAGTCTTCGAAAACGCATTATTGCGAAGACCCACCCGATCAGAGAAGACATCGCTAATCATTAATCTCTGTTAAGCGTAGATGGCATAGTCCTCGTCGGGGTGAAGTGCGTTTCACAAGTCAAGGACGGTTCCGCTTACAACGAGGAATGAGAGGTATACTAAGCATGTTTTCGTACATTCTTAAATACATTTCAATATTGATTACTTGGTGGTGGTGGTGGTGAAACTTTATTGCCCAAAAAAGAGGTCCTGAAGACACTCGGTTAGACACCAGGCGTAGAGAGCATCTCCCACGTCGGGACAGAGAGCCCGAAGCTCTCCGCCGCCTGGCGGGCCTCCTTGACAGCCCGAAGTTGGTGTGCTAGTGAAGCACTTCTTAGCAGTTTGGCCCACTGTTGCTTGTTCTTGGCGTAAATGTCACTCGATGCACAATCACAGAGCATATGGTTCAGATCTACACGTTCACAACACTGTTCACACACATGTCTGTCGTAGTCTGGGTTGATATGCTTCATGCACCAGTGGCTGGGGTATGAGTTAGTCTGGAGCAAGCGTAACATGACAGACTGGCTGCGCGTTAATTTCTTATCCGGGAGGGGGAACTCTCGCTGGCCTAGATAAAAGTGCTTTGTAATTTCGTTGAAAGTGAATAACTGATCCCTGTACTCTATGTGCAGTGTAGAGGGGGAATCGGAGTGACGCGGTCGATGAGTCCTGGTGCCACCGTCGTGTGCGGTCTCGTTGAGATCCGGCAGGTTGCCCCCTAAGCTGCCCTTGTGTGCCGGGAACCATACGATAGAGTACTTGGGGATGTTATGCCCACCTAATATTCGCAGTGTCGTCTTGTCTATCCCACCTTTTGCGAAAGCTCGAGTGGCTGCTCTAGAGTCCTTGTATATTGTTACAAAGCTCGAGTCTCTTAGAGCCAGAGCAATCGCTGCTTGTTCAGCTACATTCGGCCTCTTGGTGTAAACAGTGTATGAGCTGCGTGTTCGCCCATGTCCGTCAATTACTACGACCGAGTAGGCGTGCTTTCCTAGTATGTCCGCTGCATCCACGAAAGCTGTCTGGTCGGGAAATCTTGCGGCGACTGTCGCGAGGGCTCTGGCGCGGGCGAGTCTTCTTCCATGATTGTGGATCGGGTGTACGTTTCTGGGGAAGTGGAGCACTGTAATCGATTTTAACAAGACTTTGGGTAACTTCTGTACGTTGTCCCTTTCCGCTATGATGTGCAAACTGTGCTTGACAAGAATATCTCTGCCCTCTTTCGTGCAGGAGAGGCATGCGATCTGTGCCGTGTGCTGGGCCTCGATGATTTCAGCAAGGGATTATGCACTCCTAACTGTAAAAGGAGAGCAGAGGCATTCATTATCCGGGAGCCCCAACGTTGTCTTAAAACCACGTCATATGTGTACTTCGAGCTTTTGCCGTTCTACATTTTTCCAGTTGAGCATCACAGCCACGTATGTGATGTGACGGAGAACAAAAGCGTGGACCATTCTGATGGCGTTATCTTCACCCAGTCCTCTGTGCCGATTCATGATGCGCTGAAACATTCAAAGGGCGTTCCCAATCTTGAAGGTGATGTTGTCCAGTATCGCCAAGTTGGAGTCATTGCTTTGGATGATGACTCTAAGGATGCGAATTTTGTCGACCGTAGGTATGCGGTGGCCATTCGAATCACGTAACTCTGTGCTTGGAGGGACAGGTCTGTGCCAGCCTTTTGATGGGCGCCCTCGTCTGGGAGGATGGTAGATAATCAGCTCAGGTTTTCTGGAAGAGGAGCGAAGTCCCATTGGGGTGAGATGTGCTTCGGTGACTGTGATTGCGTCTTGCATGCGGGCTTCTAACTCCGCATCGCTTCCACCGGTGCTCCAAATGGTGATATCGTCTGCGTAGATGGTACGCTTCACATCCGATATCTCCCCCACTGTGCAAGATAGCTTTGCCTTAGCCAAATTGAATAAAAATGGCGAAAGTACCGATCCTTGTGGCGTTTCCTTATCGCCCAGCTCAAAGCTTTTAGAGACGTGCTCGCCTATCCGTAGAGTGGAGGTTCAATCTTTTAGTAAAGCATTGGCGTAGTGATAGAAACATGTGCCAATTCAGATATAGCGGTCAGAATGGCTTGATGTCGGATGTTGTCAAAAGCTTGCTCTACGTAGAGACCCAGCAGCGCCTTGGTATCTCATGTGAGACGATCCAGTAGGCTTTTCTTTATTCTCAGCATGGCGTCTTGCGTTGATAAACCTGGCCTATATCCGATTATAGTATAGGGGAAGTATTCCTTTTCTTCGACTTACTCTGTCAGTCAGTTCAGAATGACATGTTCAGCTAGCTTTCCTGTGCAGGACGTTAGTGAGATCGGCCTAAGGTTTGATAGCCCCAGCGGCTTTCCAGGTTTTGGGATGAGTACCGTATTTGCATGCTGCCATTCTACAGGTAAATGGCCGGTTTTCCAGGCTTCGTTGATTTGTTCAGTTAAGAAGGTAGCCGAATCGTCATCTAAATTTCCGAGAGCCCGATTCGTGATGCCATTGGGGCCAGCTGCAGAGTCGCTGTTGAGTTTGTGAATTGCGTAGCGGACTTCACTCTCTGTGTAGTCCGCGTCGAGCTCAGCGTTTGGGGCACAGTCATAGATCATCTGCGATGAAATACTGGGTTGTCCCAATTTAAGCAGTAGGTAGCGTTTAGCCAGGCCGTCAACAAGTTCTTCGGCAGTACTATGT